TGCAGATACCAGGCTTGAAAAAGAAGAAAGGGAAAACCCTTCTGAAGGAAACAGACAGAGGCGGACCGGTCCCTACTGACATTCCTTTAATACTGGAGGAAATGAAATGCTATGTATGTATGATAATAATAAATAATAATAATAATAATAATAAAAAGACTGTGGCTGAGTACTGAAACAAAATCTTAATCTCAGAAACACAAACACACAAAGAGAGATTAACTCTGTACAGCTCTTAAATCATCCACTTTGGGGTGGCTCCGAAAACTAAAAATAAACAAAAGCAAGAAACATAATCACTGATAAGTCCAACTGACAATCTCAGCTTTATCTCAGCGCTATACCCCCCCCACTCTGCTGCCTTGTGTCCATCTGCCTGTCCCTCATTATCTGCATCCGTTCAACCCATAGAGACAGTTTGTGTGTAACTGTGTAACTATAGTTCTGTACAATGGACTGCATAATGCTGGGCACTGTTAAGGACTTTAATACTACTGTCTGTGTGTCTTGGCCTGAGAGTGAATGTTGCCTGATTTAGACTAGTATTAAAACCCGATTCTTTGATCCCCATAACAGAACAGAGAACACCCGACTCAGAGCGGTCAAAACATTTTATATTTAATTCTTTATTCAATCATCTTCCGGAAGAGAGAGAGAGCCCTGCACAGCCCAACGCCAGTTGCAAGATCTCTAACATTAGAATGACATAAGAATGTCTCACATATAGGTGTTATCTTGGTACTTTACACGTCACACATAGTTTCAACAACTCCTTATATGTTACAAGTTCCTCCTTTCTGGCTTCCTGTATTTATTAATATGCTTGTATAGCTCTACACTAACTTCCTGTTTTTCAGTCTGGCTGAGCACTTAGCTAAGCACCTTCATTACTAAAGTACATCAAACAATATAATCAGAAAATAAGCACTAAGAATACATTAATTACATGACACTAGTATTGTAAATCTTAATTTCTTGGCGCTGGTAGAAAACATGGCATCGTGCCACAGTGTGAGAGAGGGCACCTCAACCATCAGGCAAGAGGTCACACTGAGATATGCAGATGTTAATGATCTCACATCTACACGCACCAGCTGCTGACTGCAAAACTACCAAATACCTATTAACATATCCCATTAAAACATGCAGGGTCCCTCATGTAAAGTCTATCAGATGCAGGAACGAATGGAAAATGCACAATTTAACAGTCAAGATAAATTTACAGAAAAGAAAAAAAATTAATTTCCTTGCAGAGTGCTGCAGCTTAAATTGTAACAAACAGAGAGCTAATGACCTCTTTTGGGTCTGTGATAAGCCTTTGTCCACTGTGGCTGCCCAGTGTTACATGTTCTCCTTTAGGGAGACACACAAAGGGACACACACATCTCCACGACAACACCCTGAATTAGTCATGTTGCCGTAGTCAGGCAACCTAACCCTCCTGACTCGGTCTCTTTATGGGAGACCATCAGCACGTTAATGTTGCAGAACTGTTGGCCACATCAATCACTCTGTCCGTCTACTGTAATTTTGTTCTAAAAGTAATGTAGAAAGGAGACAGCACTGACCTTTACATTTTATTAGAATTACACAAGCTCGCAGCTCAAGTCTAGTCTTATTAGTTTTAAGCTAGCAAGGAGGCTAACTCTAGGGGTGTTGCTGAGGCACTACAGAAATCTATCCTCAAGCAGCACTCTCACTAAAAAAATTGCTTTGATTACAAAGGACGTCTATTGATCCAAGTGGCTTGACGCGAGCAGTGGAGGTCCATTTCAAAGAATCACCATACTGACCTTAACTGACCTCTGGGCCACAGGTCTATGATAAACTTGTGTTTCATTAGATCTTTTATGCTTTTCTATTGGCTCTTGCAATGTGCAGGACACATCAGCTGTGGTTCAGTGCAGCCTATCTGCATCAGGCAGCAGGTGCAATGGGGAGGGATGTGCAGCACTCTGCACCAAACTGAGGGCTGGGCTTCTGCAGCGGACACACATATCCAACTCCTGAATTACTTTCTGTTACACCTTCCAACTTCTTTTCTATAGCAGCGCACACTTCTCTGGTACCAGTTTGAAAGCCTTTATATCATAAGGTAACGAATGAATCCAGTCTTTGAGGGGACTTATCTTTATCAGGAGCTTCTCCTCAGCCACACTGCACTAACAGCAGCACAGACACACCCATCACCATCAGCCATTATGACCTTTCTTAAAAATCCTTTCTGCTGCTAAATCACCTTAATTTCTTTTTTCCTTACTGGGGTTTAAAGACGATCCCTACATCCCTACCTCTTCACCTCAACACTAACTGTTCAATCATGAAAAAAAATTTATTAAGACCTATTATGCTTCGACCCAAGTACATCCTTCCTCTCCTCATCCCATTTCTCTCTGCTCTCCCAGTTAACCAATATGACCAGGCACAGAAAGAGGAAACATGAGCTGCGGTATTGTGAGCCTCAGGTCATTATCCTGTAACAGGATATACATCCCACCACCCCTCCCCTCAACATATGCCACCTCCTTCGTTCTAAATCCCTCTCTCTTTCTCTCACTACTCCTGCAAACCAACCACTACTAATCTGTCTTTCCTTTCTCTCTGTACCCGTTGTTCTCTCAGCAGTGGCACATTCCCTTCCTTTGTGTCATGAGTTTGAAGATAAACAGCTGCAGATGTTGCATGTGTGCAGCCCTTCCTCGACATCTCACTTTACATTCCTCCCATGGACTCATCCTCAGTAACTGCATCAATGCTGAAAGGACAGTGAGAAAGATGAGAAGGTGACCTATGTGTGCGTTACATCATGCTCTTTCCTTAGAGATTGTCCTCCAAATTTAGAACGTATATCTCTGTGTCTGACAAAACGTGCCGGTTGGTTGCTCTATTCTCTCTTGTTAACCGGGTCCTTTCTGCGTGGCTGCTCGTGCCAGCCTATCACAGCCTTTTACAGGGAATTTCCACACCAGAGGCCCCGCCCCCGGTTTGAAGCAGAAGGAACGTCGCAAGCGGTGCCCCCTGCGGCCTTGGGAAAGGACAGCTGGCAATGCTATAGGACAGTGCGCTAGTGCGAAATCCTCAGACGGAAAGAGGGACAAGTCAGTGCTGTACATCAGCACAAGTGATGACACTTTTCCATACACAGCTCTATTCCATTATCCATCCATCTTTTCCATTTAGGGTAACCTCAGCGCCTTAAGCGCAAACACATTCGGCAGGCTTGCATATACTTTCTTTATGATTTAAGACATCAGAAGGGAAGCTCATATTCCTTATTGATCTGTTCTATAACAGCAGTCTCCGAGGAGACAGGACATCCTCTGAAATGACAGTCCATTTCCACTCAACGTCCCTCTCTCACTGCTTCAGTGAACTTCCACACAGCAGCAGCAGCAGCAGCATCAGCAGCACATGCGTAAGCACTTTTTTTTTTTTTTTGCACTCCCATCCCTTTTGACGCAGTGCCCACTATAGCTGCCGGGTTAGCTTCCACATCTATAAGAAGACACTGACATGGACCGGAGGCTCTCTTCTACCTCCCCGGAATCCAACACACTGAACCTCTCTGTTGGCGCAGAAATGTCAGGCTTTGCAGGGCAACATCAGCTGGTCTCACTGTAATGAAACCGGCTTGCACTGCCTCCGCAGAGCTGGAAATGTCTCAGCTCCGCATGGTCTTCCTACTGCAGCGTCATGCCACCGCATCGCTCAGTCGGTGCACAGGGGTTAAATATTACTACTCTTTCATGGCGAGGCGATGGAGCCGAATTGCCTTAATAACTCACACCACCAGCCGCATCTTGACTTTACCTTGTATTTTTCCACCAGACTCCATACTGGTCAATTTACACGAGTGATAAGTTTATCCATATACCCGGAAACAGCTCAAATGCGTTTAATAGCTTAATGGATGCGCGCAGTAGAAGAGAGCCCTCTAAAGTCACACTGACGAACCTTATTGTCATTATTGTCATTCTCCTCGTGTAGCCGGCTGGAGTCGTCGTTTCTTTAATCTGTGATGTGTGTAAATGTAGTCACTGCTGGCGATTATCGAGTCCCTGTTATGTCACAAATTAAAGGGGAAATAGCCTAAGCTGGTGAAGCGCTTATTCGTGGTAACCGCATTATGACGCACGGGTCAGCGAGGGTGCCGAGGATGGACTCCTCAGCTGATAGCGTCCAGTGTAAGAACGCGGCGTGCTCATCATCCTCACCGGACAGTTGCTTCGCTTGCGCGCAAACAGATGACCGCAGAAGGGGGGATGCCAGCGGGGTTTAACGCAGCAGAGGGCAGGAGGAAGGTGGGGGTGGGCAGCGAGGGCATGAAGGAGGTCATAATGCACTGCGGTCTTTAATCATAAAGAAAGTGCATGCAAGTCTGCCGAAAATGTGGCAAAACTCAGTATTATTTTTAAACTGCAGCTTAATGATGGGGAGGGGAATAACCTTAACACGTGCTCCTCCTCTAACACACAGGAGCATACAGGAAGAATAAACCGATTAGGCCTATCATGGCTGGCAAGGTTATGGTCAAAGTAAGGCCTATACGACTTAAAAGAGCCTATACATCTGACACACCGACAAGCTGGAAACATCACAGACCTACAGTACTTAGATATAAGACTTTGGCATTAGTTTCTAAACATTTCATCACGGGGGCAGCAGTAATGAGAATCCCAGCACAAATTAGCCCACACGAGCCAGAAATAATAACTGATCCAAGTCGAATGAAAGTGAACAGTCCAAAAGAAGCTCGTTTCCACCACTGCACTAGATAAGAGCTCGTGGCTACATCAATTTGTCGCAGTCTAGACCGGCGTAAAACACAGTTCCGCATTAGAGTCAATGTCACTCAGACAAACGGGATTTCCATTAAGAACAAAAATGACATCACGCCTCAGTTTGACAGCTTTTCTTTAGGCTTTAGGCTACCTCTCACTTTTCAGGCCACTTCAGGTGGGCTACAACGCAGTAAAAAAGTTGGAATCGCCGGTTCTTACCCCCATGTTGACGCAGTCACTCTTTTCCTCTCAGGTGATGCACGGCTTGAGAGGTGTCAGCCCCTCACGTTGAACTATATCAAAATGCCTTGCCTTGAAAAGCAAAAGAAGATATGCTCAGTTGTTTTGTGTTGCATAGGTGAAAAAAAAAACACAGGTAAACGACGTCAGACAAGTTATCTATAGCCTAAGTCTGACAGAAGAATTGTCTTTGGTTTAAATAAACTGTCTCTCAAACCTTCGGCGAGGTTAGGCTGCAGTTTCCCCTTGTGGGACGTCTTTCAAATGAAATTCTGCAGTCTCAAGCGGAGCATCACGCGGGGAACCGCTTCCTCCCTTTGCTCTCTGATACTTGTGGCGAAAGACCGGCTAAACTAACCAGCGATCTCCCTCCCCATTTCTGCCGACATCACTCTGCCGGTGAAAGAAGCGAATCGGTGAATCGAGAGCTGACAGAGCTGGCCAATGAGCGCCTCCGACCAGTGGTCTTTCTCCTACTTCACAAGCCAGCCAATAGAACTATATAATTCTGCCCCTCCTGCTTTAATGCAGAATTCCGAGGCTTGCAGCCAGCAGCATCGCGAGTCTCTATCCTGAAATTTTGTATAAATGGACGCACAAGGTTAGATTCTAGTTGTCGTGATTGTGTTTGTTCATCGTGTAATGTATTGCTGTCCCATAAAATAGTGGTTTTTTTGTGCAGTAGGTTATTGCATGTATAAAGCAAGCACCTGGATGTTGTGTTGGTCCTATCATGAGCATGTTGTGCACATCCATTCCTTAGTAGTGGGCCCGGGCACAGCAGAGAAAAGAGAGCAGGACATCCAAAGTGTGCGTGTGAAATTCAGATAGAAAGAATGAGGGGGAAGTCAGAGCCACAGTTCAGTCATTAGTCTGTCACTGCATATCGGGATGCATGGTCGGCTGCAGAAAGCAGCTTGCAACCTGACTGGCTCCATCAGCAGGTGTACAGTTCTGACAATGCAGAGTCAGCATCTCACCCAACGGGGAGACTTATTCTAAGCAAAAAACAAAACAAAATTTAAAAAAAGGAAAGTAAAAAAGGATGAAACTAGATGAATCTTAATGGAAGTAAAAAAGAAATACAACTTGGATTGTTTAAACACTACAATAATTTTCGGAAGGCTCACTTTACTTGACATTTATGAGGTTAGCTGTCAATCCCACACACAGGATTGACCGGTTCTGCAAGGATACACACTCAGATTAATGAGATAGTCTAACAAATTAGACTGCATTCATTAAACACTGGTCAGGCAGAAAGATGGACAGGCTGGGATGAGTTTTGCTTTCTGTAACGGTGCCAGAGAGTTCAAAGACAGAGAGCATGAAAGAGAGACAAACAGAGGACATGCAAAAATGACAGGCAGCTGGCACATGTGTAGCAGTGAGTTATCATTGATGGTTTTGGTCGTACATTTTTCTTTTCCTCTTCGTGCTGCAGTGGAAGCACACATGCAGAGTTGCTAAGTTACACACACACATATATACTATGCATGCATGCACAGCGATGCCTGATTTGCAAGGGAAAGCTGGGAGTCACGCGTGCTGTCCCTGCAGCAGATTGCTGTCATGCCTCACTGGGTTGCTGCGGGTCCAGACGATGACCACTCAGCCCCGTGAAGCCCCAGAGCATCAGAATGAGGTTAGCTCAGAGTTGGAGGTCAGTCAGCCGTGATGCTTTATTAAAACAAGATGTTATGGTGCACATTGCATTTTTATTTTTTATTATTTAATCTGATATGGGAAGTATGAATCAGTAAAGACGCAATGAGATGCAATTAGCAGTGAGTAATCATTTTGTTTGTGGATGCTTGGTGTTTTCATAACCTTCCCGAACAACCAGATGGACGGGGTAAAGCTTCAAATACACATTCTGGTAAATCCCACTCATACAACACTAACAAGATGTTAAAGGTTGACACTTTGTTTTTCCATCACTGCTTGTCTAAGATCTGATTTCAAAGAACATTTTGCCCCGTCTGTATTAATAACAGGCTTCTGTGTAAATCCAGATAAATGTTGGCTGTTAACCTTTTACCACCCACTCTTCTGCCTGTGGGATGCTCACCCTAAAGTCAGTGCCGGCACTATGAAAAGTAACATGAATATGCACACCTAACCTAACCTGCTTTTTCTGTCACTGTGGTGGAAAATTCTAAGATTTTGACCTTCTCTGTGTTCAGCTGGTTTGGCGGAAGAGAAGGCTCCAGAGCATCATGTTTTCTCTTTATCTAATCCTTTATTACAAGATATACTCAACTGTACAAGCTGTCTTTTGTTAGGAATGTTCTGTTTGTATTTTCCCCCCCAAACATTTCTATTGTGGTTTCATAAAGAATCGGGTTTTAATAGTATCCATCTAAAGATATGTCCGTAAAGCCTGAGCAGTTTAGCAATGTGATTTGATAATCTATACGAGATATATAAGAAATGCACAACACTAATGCAGTTTAGTATCCAGCCAGTAATAACAGATGTTTATAAACCTCAGGGGTTTCATGGATGGGGAGCAGTCTTGATTAAATCTGACTGTCAGTTTTCACTCTGCAACCACATTGTACGTGTAGATATTTTATGCAGAACATCTTTATTATTTTTACCCTTATCTCAAAAGCTTCTGTTGCTTTCAGCTTTACAAAATCCTTGTATCAAATAAATAGACATGTAGCCCATATATGCAATGCACAGCTAGGCTTAATAATTTGATCCTGAAGCACTCAGTGCTGCCAGTGAGGGTGACATTGTCAGTGTGGTTGCTGCTAATAAAGTTCTTTTCATTTGAATTAAAATGGCTGCCAGCTGTACCCTTCCATAACCTCTGTCATGCCTTGATGTTTCTCCCTCCTTTCAGCCTCTCTACCTCCCAACGTTTACCCGCCTTGCAGTACAAGAAAGAGGGGGGAGGGAAGAATCCCCCCAAATCGAGTGCTCCACAGCAACAGCAGTCAGATGACCTTGTATCTGTCTTGTTCTGCTGAGTCAGAAATTGAGGGTTGAGTGAGGGAGGGTGGGGGATGCAGGGAGAAAAGAATAAGAGAGAGAAGGAAAGCGAGAGATGGCACAGAGAGAAAGCTGGCTCATATTTTTATTCTTACCGATTCTGTGGATTCTGCTCGCGTTGCTGCGTCTGACTTATTCGCATGAAGTAATGAAGTAGAGTTGCATGGCTTCAAGTGCCATGTGCTTGTGTCATGAGTGCATAGTCAGTTATTTTGGACAATATGACGTCAGAGGCTTTGTAGGTGAATGGTGTATATCATGGGGTTTTGTAGTCATAGGTCGTGCGTGTGGAGGCCATGTGGGGAAAAACTGCATGGATCAGACGGAAATAGCATATGTATGTATGGATGCAGTATTTGTTAGTTTCAACATACCTAATGGCAGAATGCTTGCATTAAAACACTATGTCCACACAGAATAGAAAAGAATTAAAAGGCATTATTGCTTCTACTGCATTTTTTACTCATCTTTTTCACAAGATTTTGGAACGTGGCTGCAGGAATTTGCTCCTGTTCAGCAACAGAGGGGCTTGTGAGGACAAGTAGTGTATCTGGGCAATAAGACTTGGCTAGCTGTCAGTATTCCAGGTCATCCCAGGTGTCGGACAGGGTTAGTGTCATTGCTCTGTGCAAGCACGTTATTGACCCTTCCTTTGTATTGGTAGGCATCCTCACTGGACCTGGAGTGAGATTTAGTTCAGATAACTGCAGAAAAGGACCAGAAGTGCAGCATACGTTGCTAGTAATTATGTAAACAGCTGTGTCCGCATACTTTTGGCATTGCAGTGTATCTATGGATAGCTAAAATTAGGGTTTGAGTGGGGGTGTACGAAGTCATCTGTTTTTGCGTGCGTGTGTGCATGTGTGAAGGTGATCCTAGCTAATCCGGTTTTATAAATGTCTGACATAATCTGTGTTCCACTCACAGTGTCCAGAACAGGGAGAAGGGAGGAAAAGAGGAGACGCAGAGAGAAGTGAGAGGGGGGAGAGAGAGAAAGACGGAGAGGGTGGCATAAAAAGAGGAGCAGGAAGGAGATGGCAGGAGGATAAATGATAGAAAGGCTGATGGGCTTAAGGAGTATGACAGAAAGAAAGCGTGAGAAAGAATGCAGGGAAATAAGACATGGATGAAGGAGAACAGAGCCAGGTGGGTGGTGGAAAATTCCTCTGGGATTTAGCGTGGATGGAATGATACAGGACTGGCAGTGAAGCTGTGGTTATCATACAGCTGCATTGAGGGGAAGGACAGAAGACGTATCATAAATTGGATACAGAACACAAGAAAAGCAGATTAGAAAACAGAAATCTGTGAAAATGATGGAGAGTAGTTTTGTTTGACAGACAATAAACAGAAAGAGAGTGATTTATCTTTATTCACCCTCTCAATCTATGTACGACTGCTGCCTTTACATAAAAGCATTTATTTCAGAGTATAAATCTAACAACTTGCTTTGGCAAGCACAAAGGTTTTCAGGGTTTTATAAACCTAAGAGAATAAACATTTTACAATGATAAGGAAACCCCTGGTGATTATTGGTGGGGTTGTTGCAAAGCAAGCAATCCTACTATATGTTTTTCTCTATTGAAATAAAACCAAAGAAAAGAAACCTTTGCACCTAACTAGTCCTGCACTGCTCAAAAACCAAAATGATCGGCTCGTTGGTGTTCTGTAGTGTTTAGACATATGTTGTACCATTTATAATTATTTTATGAATGGTTTACAAAAAAACATCCATTAAGGGTCCAGGGGAGGTCGTCAGATGTCGTCTTTCATGTAAACATGAATTACGGTTTGACCTTTAAAAGCCATTTTGCGAGAGGAGTGCTGAGCTCATTTCAGAGAAATTTTGACAGGTTTTATTACCATGAAAACTTTAACTGCTTCTTAACTGACTTTTTAGCAGCATGCCACAGACCAGGTTTCGCAATCACAGCAGTCCAAAGTCGTTTTTCCTGAAACTGAATGGTCTAGTTTTACAGGTTACCCTCACTCATGTTAAAGGCCCTCTACCTGCTCACAGCTGTATTATATTTATCAGGGGCAGATCTCGAAACTTTAGAGTCCTGAATCAGTCTGTGTTAGGAATAATTGATACTTATGAATAAGTTTTCACTTTTGTGGTAGTGGGAGCTCAGCCCACTTGTTTTGGGGATGTTCAAAAGTAAGACTCCAACAAAAAGCTGAAAGGAACAAATGCAAGCATTTTGTAACACTTGGATTCCATTATTGTGAACATCATAACCTCTTACAGACACATCTGTTTGTGCAACTCGAGGAAACCCAAGCACCTTAACTCTGCCATTGTTTAGCAAACACTGGGATTTAAAGCTGGCAGGCCAGTAATATCAAAATGTCTT